TAATGTATTTAGCAAGTACAGGCATACCTTGGAGATAGTTAAAGTAAAGTAAGTCACACAAATGTTTTGTTTCCCAATGCATATAAAAGTTATGTTTACCCTATACTGTAGTCTGTTAAGTGTGCAATAGCATTATGTCCGAGAAACAATGCACACACCTTAATTATAATGTACTTTATTGCTATAAAATGCTAATCATCATCTGAGCCTTCAGCGAGTTGTAACCTTTTTTGCTGGTGAAGGCTCTTACCTTCAATTTGTGAAAAACGCAGTATCTGTGAGGTACAATAAAGCAAAACTCAGTAAAACAAGGTATGCCTGTAAATACATTAGTGTGGTTAACCTATAGCAATTTTAAGTTATGATTAGGGAATGAGGATATTTTTCAGCAGAACTGTCTTGCTGCAGAACTTTTCTTAAAAAATATATATATATGACCACAATGTAACTCTCAGACTGCTCAGGAGATAGCATAAAACCTCACTGCTGTGCCAGGAGATTTTTATAGCTACAGCAAGAGATACTAACTCACATGTATGCAGGCAACTCAAACTCAAGTGGAAAATTTGTTGTGTTTGTGAACAAGTCATACCACACGTTTAGTTATTTGCACAAGCAGAATCAGCAGCATCTTTTTCCATGAGACATTAAAAGAAAACAAAACAAAACAAAAAACCTGGGTCAAAATGATTTGCAGTTTCAGAAAAAGGCTTTTAAGAGATGTTTTTAGGTTTGAAGATATTTAAAACGTTTGTAACTTTTACTCTCTCACTGACAAAGCAAGTGTCTCAATAAAAATACCTATTTCAACTTGCATTGCCAACGTCTTTTCTTTGAGTCATCTGAATAAGGCAGAAGCCATCATAGAGGTATTTTCTATGTTTTTAATTTTTCTTAAATGGGTCTCCTAAGATTGTTCCATTCTTCGTGACCCTGTGGGATCTGTGCACAGGCCTTGCTCAATTATGCACTCAGTAAACTCTTTTTATTGACTCACATATTTCATAATTTTTAACATGCAGGGTCATAGCTGGAAAAATTATGATACAATTTTGACTAAAATCTACCACTTGTATGCTAATCTTCAACATGATCAATTGTTCTTTGTTCTCAGTGATTAATTCCATGACTAGCTTGTGCTTAAATTTCAATATTTTTAGAATAAGGTCAAGTGTACTTGGCATTTTCAGAATAGCGATTAATGGTAAGTTTCCAAAGAAAAATGTAAATTTATTATTTAACATGTTTCCTATGCAGAATATAGCTCTTAGGTTTTGTCTCTTCATATTTCATATTATGGAAAATACTATATTACTTTAGACCACTGGACATAAATAGTCAAGTGATGAGTGATGGTTAGAAACACAGCTCAGGATCAGAAATGTTATCACCATTCTTCAGGAAAAGATAGGATGACCAATTTCTACATGTGGTATGATAAAAGCTGGAAGTAATTAAAAAGAGAAAACATTCACTCTGTAGTACCTGTTTTTGGCAAGTTTTATAAGTAGGCAATAATTTTACAAAATTCTAGACTGCATAATTATTTCTAGGGAAAAAATTTTATTGAAGATTAATATGTAAATTAAGTTTTCATCAAAGATCAAAAGAGCTTTCTCTAAAATACTCAGTTTATTAATTATTTCCTTGATTTATCACATTATTATAAATAATAAACATCATTTAAGGGTTGACCCAAACAAAAAGCTAAATCTACATATTTTATTTTTAAGAAACACATGAAATTTAAGAAAATCTTAAGTTTTCTAAAATATACTACAAGGCATTAATTACCCACATAAGTACCAAAGCCCAAATACCACACCGGATTTATTGAGTGAAAGTGTCCTAAATTGTTTTTATAAACTAATTTACATAACTTTATAATAATCCGTGTCTTTATTTGGGGAGTTCTTATTCCCATTTTGAATATGGAAAAAGGCAACAGGTTGACCTAAGACTTATCAAAGACTACCAAGTTGTACAGATTGATTGTCTACCTAATTTTCTTAACTTTACAGATAGAGAAAAGGACTATATAAATTTCCATTAGTACTTGAATGTTCATTTAACAAAAACTTGTGCAGACAGAATAATGAACACTGAACATGCAACTATGGGGAAAAATATGGTTCCTATCCTCATAAAGCTTCTATTTTACTGTGGGAAACAGATGTTAAATACTTCTCTCTCTCTCTCTCTCTCTCTCTCTCTCTCTCTCTCTCTCTCTCTCTCTCTCTCTCTCTCTCTCTCTCGGCATGTCCTCAGGTAAAGATTTAAAAAAAAAAAAAAAAAAAGACTGGTAGGCATGGCAAAGATGCTGTATGATTCTAACTATATGATATTCTGGCAAAGGCAAAACTGGAGACAATAAGACCTGTGGCTGCCAGGGATTGGGAGGGAGGGATGAATAGGTGTAGCACAGAGGATACTTAGAGCAGTGAAACTGCTCCATATGATAGTATAATTGTGGATACATGTCATTACACATTTGTCCAAGCCCATAGAAAGTACAATAACTGAACCCTAATGTATACTATGGATTTGGGTGATAATGATGTTAATGTAGGTTCATCAATTATAACAATCCTACTACTCTGGTGTGGGGCAGTGGGGTGGTAGGTCGGAATGGAACATGAGGATATAGGAACTCTGTACTTTTGCTCTAAACCTAAAACTGCTCTAAAAAACAAGATCTTTTGTTTTAGGAGGGAAATTCTTGATTAAATTTATCATTTTAACAGATCCCTTTGGCTGCAGTGATTCTTGTGGATGGAGACAAAGAATTAAGTTAACTGCAGTTGTCCAGGTGAGAGATGGTGCTAGTTTAGTCACAGGTGGTGTCAAAAGATAAAGTGAAAATGTGCTAGCCTTAGAGAATTAAGATTAAAAGTATGTGTCCCTGAAAAAATCAATGTACTGCTTACTCTTAGTTCCTCATATACTGAAAAAGAGAAAGGGCTCTGATCAGTTTAGCTCAGTGGATAGAGCGTTGGCCTGTGGACGGAAGGATCCCGGGTTCGATTCCAATCAAGGGCATGTACCTTGGTTGTGGGCACATCCCCAGTAGGAGATGTGCAGGAGACAGCTGATCAATGTTTCTCTCTCATCGATAGTTCTAACACTCTCTCCCTCTCTCTTTCTCTCTACTAAAAAATCAATAAAATCTATATTTTAAAAAGAGAAAGGGAGGAAACATATGGGGTTTGGCCAGTGGCCCTCATGATTTAGGGGGAATATCACTGAATCACCGAAGGCGAACAGAATTAACTGAGAACCTGGGATAGCTGCATTTCTTTTCTAATGGCAGCCTTGTGTTAAGCAAGAGCAATGCAGGCAGATGGTGGTTCTTATGAGAAAACTTTTAAATAATGTTTTCCTGGGTACTCTTTATATATAATGGTCCACTACTTCAGTGACAATCCTCGTTGCAACGATAGTGACTAATAAATATGATGATATAATCAAAATCCTAAAACGGACATTTCTAGAAACCAATATATAATGTTATTTTGAGTTGGGTTTTTCTATTGTTCACTAGAGACCTGATGCATGAAATTCATGCAAGAGTAGGCCTTCCTTCCCCGGCTGCCAGCACCGGCTTCCCTCAGGCCACCAGCAGGCACCAGGACCTGGGCTTCCCTCAACCCCGGCTTATTCCAGGTCATCTGGAAGGACTTCTGGTTAATTAGCATATTATGCTTTTATTTTTATATTTACAACTTTGACCCTTACTTGGTAATCTCAATGTAATTTTTTAAAATAAATCTTTATTGTTCAGATTATTATAGACTTTCCTCTTTTTCCCCCCCATAGTTCCCCTCACCTGGTTCCCACACCACCCCATGCCCTTACCACCCCCCAACTGTCCTCATCCATAGGTGTAAGATTTTTGCCCAATCTCTTCCTGCACCCTCCCTACTCCCTTCCCCCCAAGAATTAAAATCAATGTAATTTTAACAAAGTTTTAAAAATTTTGGGCAGAGATATTACTCACTTGTAATCTCCACAATATATTATACATTAAAATGTTCATAATACACTGATAATTCTATTTCATTCTATCTTTCCTATTTTTGTTTTCACAGAGTAAAAGATGTAAAGGATGAGAGAAATTTGAGACACAGAAATGGTATCTCCTATCCCATTTCCTACTCTCCCACACAAACTCTTCTAAAATATTAACATGAAATCCTGTAAAGGGTTAGGGCCAAAAAATGCTACATAATTATAGCGAAGGGGGTTCCGGACTGCAAGAGGGTGCAGGCTGGGCTGAGAGACCACCCAAATTTCGTGCACTGGGCCTCTCTAGTACACTATAATAAAACTTAATGTGTTAATCTGGAACACTTTGTTAGAACTAGTTAACATATGTCTAAAGCACACAAAACTTTGCTAAGACAATATTTTTCATTATTAAAGAAAAAACCTATTTCTTACAATTGAGGACAATACATAATTTTAATAAACTTAAATCTATTAATTATTTTAATGTTTCATGCTTTATGAAGAATTAAATATGTTATTTGAAAAAAGTTATTGTAGCTACAAAAAAAAAATAACATGGGTCAGTTCCTGATGTAACAACTGGCTATCCCATAATATATGTGTCTAATTTCAATGTTATTTTCTTTCTTGTTATTTTAGCAATTATATGCAGTTTTAATAGTCAAGCTATCACTTGAATGATATTAAAGAATAATCATATCTACTCAAACTAGGTTCATATCATTTACCACAGTGATTGATTCTGACTTTGAGGAAGATTGTTGACCATTTAGAATCTTCAGTGTTTCCCAACTTTTGACATATGTGTACCCCTTCTATAATTTTCGTAACGCTGAGTTCCCCTCGTACTCATGAGAATGCAGAATTAGGCGCAGCTAAGCACGGTGCAGTGCATATCCCCGCCAAACTCCGGTGCAGCGCGTACCCCCACCAAACTTTTCCCGTACCCCTGGGGGTACGCATACCACGCTTTGGGAAACACTGATAGATGATCATTTAGAACTAACATTTAACTTATAAATTTGAATTTCATCTTTTGCACACTGAGGAAAAAGATTAACAATTTTATCCACATCAAGATGCTTGTTTTGAAGGATTGATTCCATCTCTTTGAATAGTTCTTTCTCCAGACTTCTCATGTTCTCCAACATTGTTTTGGATTTTTCCTGAACAATAAAAATAACAATAAAATGAACACACACAAGTCTAACCAAATTCTAACCAACCTCTATAAGCAAGGTTTGTTCATTCTGGTTTCTACTTCTTATTTGGTTTCCTTCCTTCTATTCTTTAGATATAGAAGAAATAAAATTCTTTCAGAGAAAATCATTGTTCTAAAGGTCGAGTTATTTTATTAACCCCAAATTGTTAGTTATTTTTAGTAGAAAAAACAAGAATAATTATGTAGGATTAGTCTATAAGCAAGAAACCTAAAAGACAAATAACAGAACTATTGAAAATCTGGTATTAATTATGTATGGGAATGCTGCTGAAAATTGAGGCTGAGATATTTTTATGAATTTGGATCTTCTATATTTAAAAACAATAATATCAGAATAAACAAAGGAAATAGCACAGTAATGTTCAAGGGAAGGAGCAACTGAAATATAAGAAAATTACTATAAAGTGAGCATAATTTTTAAAATTTGAATCATTATGTTCAAACAGCACAAAATAAAGATACTTAACATTGTATACAATTGTCTTCTGAAGAAATTTCATTTCATATCAGTGTTTTGGAATAATTGGTTACCTCTTTGGAAAACAAAATTAGAATCTACTTTATAGCATATGCAAAATTAAATTCCAGATGAATTAAAAAATTAAATATTTTGCCGAAAGGTCCCAGGTTCGATTTCGGTCAAGGGCATGTACATTGGTTGCAGGCATATCTTGCACACCCGGGGTGTGCAAGAGGCAGCTGGTCGATGTTTCTCTCTCATCGACGTTTCTATCTCTCTATCCCTCTCTCCTCTCTGTAAAAAAATCAATAAAATATTTTTTTAATTAAATATTTTTTCAAACATATATACCTACTGGAAGAAATACAGAAGTTGTAGTTATCTTGAGGTGAGGCAAGCCTTTTGAAGCATGAAATCAAGATGCTTTAAAGAAAAAGATTAACAAGTATAATTGACTAAATTTAAAATTTTTGTCTGTAAAAAAGTTAAATAAACAAGTTGAGATTAAAAATTTGAAGACTTACTATTCACATAAATTGCCTCTTTGAGGCAGAAGACAAAACAACCAAGAATCTATTGAAAAATAACGAAGGAAAAGGATAGGCAAGTCTTTTAAAAGGAAATACTAATGGCCAATAAACATGAGGAAAACTTCAATCTCATTAGTAGTCAACAAATGTAAATTAAAACTGCAAGTAGGATTGACTTTCCCTAAAACACAGAAGTAGTTATTTGTAAAGCCGGGATTAGAACCCAACTCTGTCACTTCTACCCTCAAATTCTATTATCTTTCCACTACTTTTTTTGTTAATCACTATTTCATGCCCATTAACTAAAGCCTAAAATAGCAACAGCTTTTAAAATTTTATTTCAGTATTACTTGGGAAATTATCAATCAGCAATTTAATTTAGTTTATCAAACATTTAGTAAGTCTACAAAACTGAGAACAGTATTGAGGGGAACGGAAGCTGACAACTCTAGAAAACTAACAAAAGCAATTTGGGCAATGAGGAGGCTGCTGTGGAGGGGAGTGAGGGGAAACACCTCCAGAGCAGATGCTCTTGAAACATCACTGAGGAACTGAGGCAGAGGCCAGAAAACCAGAGGCCTCATCACATTTCACAGTGTCGTGCTGAGTCTGGACAGTGAACGAGGCCCAGGGAGTGGATGACAGACAACTCTGGCCCAGTGGCCTGGGCCCTCGTTAGCACACAGTGGACTCCTAGAACAAACTGCATGCCTTTCACTCCGTGCCACAAAGCTACAAAAAAGTGTTTACTCTGTAGGTCAGAAGTGAAAACAAACTGGGCCCAGATAAAGCAAATAGGAGTCTCTGCTTTAAGCATAAGCAAGGTGGGGATGTCAGGGAGAGGCATGGCAATTCTGCAAACATGGTACAGACAAAATAAAAAATAAAAGGAAAACGCATTTAATTCATTTAATGTAGATACAATATCAATACATATACCTTGATAAATTATAGGCAATTATAGGAATTATAGGCAATAAAAATGAGGAGTTGGTGGAAACAGGTGAGAAAAATGTATAAAATGGCCAATCTTTTCCTTCATAGCAGGGAATATGTTAAAAGCCTTTACGCAACCCTTCCATTTCCTTCTATTTTTTTTATTTTTTTTTAATCTCAGGAAGAGAGAGAAGAGGGCAGAAGAGGTATGGATATAAAATTATTAATCTATCCATCTGTCTATCTGCTCCCAAAAAATACATCTGCTTATTTCTGAAGATAAGATTCTGGTGATATGTTAATCTTCTATAGTCTTCTATAATGCTTACATGTTAAAATAATAAGCATTTATTGTTTTTTAAAAGCTCCAATTAATTATGATTATTTTAAGTCAACGAGGTCTTACAGCACTTTCAATTAAAATTAATCTGAATCTGTATGCTTAAGAACATTATATAAGAGTCCAGGTTAACTGCCCTCCAGTGGCTTTGTAATTTTGGGTGTGAGATATATAAGCAAGCTACTAAACTCTTTTTAAATCTTAGATTCTTATCAGTAAAATGGAGATAATAATAGTATCTACCTCACAAAGAGGCTGTGAAGGTTAAATGAAATATTTCATATAATAGTACTATGGTGCTTGGTGTATAATAGTGCTTAGTAACAAGTAGCTATTGATATTATGCTTAATATCCTACATCTCTCTTAAGGATTCACAACATATTTTTAATCATTATTTTTAACCAAAGATACAAAATAGAGCTCTACCACAGTCAAAGCATATAAACTATTTTTAAACATGTTTGTATATGAAGGAGGGAAAGAAAACTAAAACTCAAAATATGAATTGGTTGTCCAGCTGATGTGGCTCAGTGGTTGAGCCATGGACCAGGAGGTCATGGTTTGCATACCTGGTCAGGGCACATGCCCAGGTTGTGGGCTCAATCCCCAGTGGGGGGCATGAAGGAGGCAACCGATCAACAATTCTCATCATTGGAGTTCTCTCTCTCTCTCCATCTCCCTTCCTCTCTGAAATCAATAAAAATATTGATTTTAATATGGGTTGATTCATATTTTAAACAATTTGTAATGATAAACATAGAACATAATCTAATCATACCTCCTTCTTATCTGTTACTTTCAATGCCTGTTGATGCTCTTGGTAGAGTGGGTGTCTTCTGTCAAGTTTAGTCTTAAAATGTGGCTTCTTTTTAACTGGGTCTTCAACTTCAAATGTTGGTGAACTGGTGTCGAGTAGTTGTGAAATATTTGGTACAAATATGAAAGGCTTAAAAACAGATCTAGAAGAAAAAGTATTTTATTACATTGTCACATGGGGAATTTTAAAATACTCATCATTATTCTAAATCTTGTGAGGTTCCCTCTAGTTAGATGTTTCTATTAACTTGTTATATACTAATGAGTTCCCGTCATACGAATTGCAGCCATGCTGTCTTCCCTGGTATATTGGGATCTCCTTTAGGGCAGAGGACCAAGGTTTATTTAGCTGTGTATCCCCATAAATTTAACAAAATGCCTAGCATGTAAACAGTGTCAAGTAAAATTATAGTTCATCAGAGGGTAAGAACTATTCTCAATGTTAGAGATTGAGGATTAAGATTTTGGATGAAAATTAGCAGCAGTATTAATAAGGGATTCACAGATTTTTCTTGAAAAAAAAAAAAAAAATATATATATATATATATATATAGAGAGAGAGAGAGAGAGAGAGGAGATATATATATAATATGCTAATTAGCCAGGCGCCCCAACCGCTCAGGAGGAGGCTGCATCACGACTGCTCAGGAGGAGCTGCGTGCAGATGGGGGGAGGGAACTGCGAGCCACCCCCAGCCCCAGTGACCTCAGGAAGCTGGGGCTGGGGGCGGGACGGAGACACAACACACGGGAGCACCTGCCCCCACCCCAGTGGACACAATGCAGCAGCCAATGCTACGGGGGGGGGGGGGCCAGGCGCGGGTCCCGTTCCCCTGCGGGGTGCCTCCTTACATGGTGAGAGGCAAGGGGCCTCCCCGCCTGGTCTTTAATAATTTGAAAGACTATAACAATATAAGATCACTTCTAAATGTAATTTGCATTAAGTTTTGTGAGAGATACTAATGACTTAAATCAAGATAGTCTGTACAAATACTACTAAACTTGAACTGTTGATATTTTAAGTTTTACATAAATGTATTTTCTAGATACGAGTTCATAAGGAACCATCTAAATCCACTTACTTTTTTATTAACTCTTAATCATCCAATATTATAATGGATCTTTATTATTTCTACTTTCTACTTTCTTTTCTTGACAATGTTAAATATACTTGGGAAAAGAGGATGCAGGGATAACTGCATACAAGAAATTATTAACATTTTTTCCAACAAAAATGAGGACAATGCCAAAACCAGTTTTGCTCAGTGTATAGAGCATTGGTCTGCGGATTCAAGGGTCCCAGGTTCAATTCTGGTCAAAGGCATGTACCTTGGTTGTGGGCACATCCCCAATGGGGGGTGTGCAGGAGGCAGCTGATCAATGTTTCTCTCTCATCGATGTTTCTAGCTCTCTATCCCTCTCCCTTCCTCTCTGTAAAAAAAAAATCAATAAAAAAAATATATTTTTTAAAAATGAGGACAGCCGAAACCGGTTTGGCTCAGTGGTAGAGCATCAGTCTGAGGACTGAAAGGTCCCAAGTTCGATTCCAGTCAAGGGCATGTACCTTGGTTGCGGGCACATCCCCGGTAGGAGGTGTGCAAGAGGCAGCTGGTTGATGTTTCTCTCTCATTGATGTTTCTAACTCTCTATCTCTCTCCTTTCCTCTCTGCAAAAAAATCAATAAAAAAGATAAAATAAATAAATAAAAATGAGGACAGTTATGGCATTTATGCACATACAGAAATGATGGACGAAGACTTGAACTAATATGCATCCAAAAATTATTTTTGTATTTGTGTATTTTATTGGGGGGGGGGGAAGCCTGACAAAATCATCAACAGACTAAAGATTCTACCCTACCCCATGACTTCTTGCTTGTTTATAGTATTTTGTGATTTACCTCTCAGGATCAGGAGTCCCAGTGAAGAAGTGAATGCAAGGAAAGTTGGAATCTTGAGGTAAAATAGAAACCATGCTTGCAGTGGTCAGGAATTCTCCCTCCATATTAATGCCACTTGGTTTATCTCGGAGAATTTCCATCATTGTTTCAAAAGTTATGTTTCCTAAGAAAATAATTTTGAAAATCATCAAATATGCATAAATTTGCAGGCTGGTATCCTGCAAATATAAAATGTTTTCTATACTGATAATATATACACAAGGAGATATTCGTCTAGGTATACTTTAAGAGATTGGCTATAAAACAAACCTTAGATTAAACTCATTCCACTGTTGCAAGAAAGATATTTTTTAAATCTAAAATATACAGTCTCAAACCATTATAGCAGGTAAAAAATCTATGTAACTGCCTAAGAAGAAAAACTTAATAATGCAAAATTAAATTCAATCTCATTGACCTTAAAAAGTATTTTAAGGTGTATTCAGTTAGCAATGAACTGATGCTATCAATATTATCCGAGTCAATCTATTCAGAAAACCAACTATTAAGAAAATAGTGTGCTTAGACTACTATATATTGTAGTCTGAATAGGAAAACCAACTATTAAGAAAATAGTGTGCTTAGACTACTATATATTGTAGTCTGAATAGTCTGAATAGGAATTGTAGTCTATTCAGACTACAATTCACACTTTCCTATAACAGTATCAATTTCAGGCACAAGAAATTATTATAGAAAAAATAATTTGTTATTTTGTAAAGAACATCTTGAAAATATATACTAGAGGCCCGGTGCATGAAATTTGCTAGCAGGGTCACCTAAGACCATAGGAAAACACAGATATTTACATTTATGATTTATAACAGTAGCAAAATTACAGTTATGAAGTAGCAACAAAAATAATTTTATGGTTGGGGATCACAACAACATGAGGAACTGAATTAAAAGTCTCGGCATTAAAAAGGTTGAGAACCACTGCTCTAAATAAACAAATAGTTTGGGGAAACTCTTAGCCTGTACCTTTTAAAATATTGCTTTTGCTCCTCCATATTCCCTCTCACTTTTCCTTCTGGGACTTAACTACACATATGGGAAACCTTTTCACAGAGTCCCATATGCCTCTCACACCTTTGTCTATATTTTCTAAACTTTTATATCTGTTTTCATTAAGTCCTTTTCTACTAATCTTCCAGTTCACTATTTTTTTCTTCTATTATGTCTAATTTGTTGTTAAGCTATTTAGTTCTTCATTTCAATTACTATTACTTTATAATTCTACTAGAGGCCTATTACTTTATAATTCTACTAGAAATTCATGCATGGGTAGGGTCCCTAGGCCTGGCTGGAGATCAGGGATGATCTGTGAGGTGACAGGCAGAGTGATTGGGAGGGCCCCCTCTGGAACCTGCTTTGGCGAGCCTAATGCCACTTGTTTGTTCACTGGCCCCACCCTCTGCTACCGCCACTGGTCGCCTCCTTCTGTGGGGTGACTGGTTGGGTGATGGGCAGGCCCCCTCCTTGGCTCGCCTGGGGTCTGTGGGCTAGGACAACTCCTGTGTTGAGTCTCTGCCCTGGTGGTCAGTGCATGTCATAACGACCAGTCGTTCCACTGTTCAGTTGATTTGCATAGTAGGCTTTTATTATATAGGATTATTTCCATTTGTTCTCTTTTTTAGATTCCAGTACTCTGATGCAATTCTCCTCCTTTTTATCTAATTTTCTTGAACATAAAAAACATATCAATTTGAAAGTCTGTGTCTGATAAACCTACTGTGTGATGTTTATTTGTTTTTTATTGATCTCAGAGACAGGGAGAGAGAAACATGGATGTGAGAAACATCTATTGCTTCCCACACACCCCCTCAACCTGGGTATGTGCCCTTACCAAGAATCTAACCCACTACCTTCTAGTGTAGGGAATGATGCTCCAACCAATTGAGCCACATAAGCCAGGGCCAAAGTTTTATAATAGAAAATTTTCAGTTTCTCCATAGTACAGCAATGATTTCAAATTCAATTATAAATAACTTGTTATAGGAGCAATATATTTATGTTAAATTTGAAAAAAATGCAAGAGGAAAAAAAGTAGATATAAAAACAAGCTTTAATATTAAAACTAAACAATAAAGCAAAAGCTTATCATCTATACCTAGCAAACACATAGCTGCTGCACCTAGGGAGATTTTAAAATGATTCATATCTAAATTCCTTAAGTGGCAAGTTTTAGTGAAAACAATGTCAGAACCATAATACTGTCATAATATAGGTATTATGAAAATGTTTTTTGTATTCAAACCTACAATTCTCAAAATGAAAGGAGGATTTACATGATTTCACTTGAGTAGGACAGCTATAAGTAATTCACTAGTAAGCATTGAATAAGTATTGAGGCTTCAGTGGCAGGGTTCACTCAAATGAATGCAAAACACAGGGTACAATTTCATTGCAATTTAAACTAGTTATTTAAAATACATGAGTGAATATAGATACAATTTGGATATATCGATACATGCAGCACAGGTAATAGCTATCAGTCAGGGACAGTTGGAAAGAAGAGAAGTAAGCTCTTCCATCTAGAAAAATCACAGGAAAAAATGAACCATAATGTATAAGTAGACAATTTTCTATAAAAGTACTGGAAAGACATTTGTTCTTTTGGCAAAGCAAAAAAAGCTGAACTGAAATTCAAACTTAGGAGGAAAAATAAGTTTCATGTCTGATGCATCTATTACTATCATCATATATGTATTTCAAATATATTAGTCAGTTATTTTATAATTAAGTAAAACAGAATCAATTATTATGCTGCAGTAACTAATTAATTTGTAATTGTTTCTACTTTTTCTTCCTTTTGTTTAATTACCATAAACCTTAGGATTCTTGACATTTTCTTCTCCACTTTAAAAATGTGTGGTTCTTCATTTTTTAAAAAAGGCCTGCTAATTTTATGTCCTAAGGATTTCAGTTTATTGCCAAAAAAGTACACAACAGTAATCTTTGTTAAACAACCTACAAATTATAATTTAATTAAATCCTTTTAAAATTTAATCAAGACATTAAGTACACACAATATACTAGTGCAAGACAAGGTGCTGAGAGGAATATAAGGACCAGAAAGAGTCCATTTTTTTAAAGTTTCATAGGGAGATAAATAAAGATCACAGTTTCATAATTTGTGAAATGACAATACCTACTTCACACAATTGCTTAAAGGTGATAATGTATTCGTTTAGCACAGTGTCTAGCCCTTGATATGTTTTTAACAAATGTAAGTAGGTGTTGCTGCAACTGCCATGCCTGTCTCTACTTTTACAAAAATAAATTTAAAATTAGAATTAGAATAACATATTTTAGCATTTTCTACACAGCTATCTACATGAGAAAAAGTAGTTTATATAACTTACATATAAAATGATAAGCTAACATTTAGAAACTTTATAGAAAACTTTTCAAATGATAAGACATTCTTCTGGAAATTAAAATATAAGATATTAAATACTTTAAAAATAATTATGCTAAAGCATTCTGAAAACATTGTCACAAATTTTTTTCTATCATACCAAATAACTAACATATCATTAATTTGTTTAATTAATTTCTGGAAAGCAACTATCTATCATTGACTGATCTATCTCTGAGTAGTTGCTTTCTGATTGATTTATAGAACAGGTTTATCCTTCAAGTGAAGGAGGATATATCACATTTTCTCATCAGTGAACTAACCCTTTTAGCAGTTATCTACCACCCAGTAATCTTCTTAAATAAAAGTTATTTTTCTGGAATTATTAGGTAAGAAAGGGACAAATATATTATTAAAATTATTTTTTAAGAGTTAGTAGTAACGGAATGTAAAAATGGGAAAATGTATATTAACTAAAGGCCCAGTGCACAAATTCATGCATGGGTGGGTCCCTCAGCCTGACTGACAATCAGGGCCGATCAGGGCCATCTTGCCAGCAGGAGGAACATCGGGAGTTCTGGGTCTGGCGCAATTTCAAGACGCATATGGGTGGGCAGGGACTTAACTCGTTCCCATGATGTGCCCAGACTCTAACAGGAGGAAGATTTTTATGCACATTTTACTAATTTTCTTTCATCTCTGACACTTCTATTACAGAGAAAAGGCAAACAGCAATATTAAAATATTTCCTCTAATCAATTCCCTTTTAATGTACAAAAATTTCATGCACTGTGCCACTAGTGTAAGCTATAAATTTCCAGTAATGAAAAAGTGAAAACAACCTAAATAACAGGAACTTTTTAAACTAAACTATGATTTATAAATCAATATTTACTATACAATAGTTAAAATGCAACCATATGGAGATAAACAACATATCAAAATAATAGAATACTGTACATCTGTCTAAAAACTAAAGTTCTGTATGTATTAAAATAGAAAAAGCTACATTATATATTGCTAAAGAAAAGTGATGTGCATAAAAGTGTGGGGCATGCTACTGTGTCTGTAAAAAAACTGAGAGGGAAAAGAATGTATAAATATATTTGTTTCATTAAGCATACATCATCTCTGGAAGAATAATACGGAATCGCCTCTGGGAAAAGAACTGATATCTAGGGGCAGGGTAGGAGGCAGAGATTTCACTGCATACTCTTTTTTAATCATGTGCATGTATTTATTTTTACAAGTAAAAGAATGCCATAGAATATTAAATGGCATGGGAAAGAGTCCTGCTCTAATTTGGCTGAGTAAGCTCCCACTAGACCAGCCCTCCCTCAAATAACTATACACTCAGAATGAAATGCACAAAAACAACTACCCAAAGGCTCTTCAGAGCAAACAAAAACAGAAAAATTCTGGAGGGGAGGTGACATTTGGAAGATGAGATAATGCACAGGGTGTTTCCCTTTTCTGTTACGGCTTTAGCCCACAGTCAGTGCTGTGCAGTGCTGGGCAGGTAGCCATAGAAAACAGTCTTTCTGGCATGAAGAACTAGAAGTCAGCCACAGGCCCTAGGAAGTGAAGGGGGAATGCCATAAAGGTGAAAGTAAAAAGAGGAACCACAAAATTCTGGGTTAAAAACTCTGTCCACATCTCATCTGATCTGTGTAGGGCACATCAGCTAAAAATAAAAGAACTGAACTGAAACTTGAACTGCCAACTAAGGGATTAAGTTAGGAGGTTGAGAACAAACTGTCTGCTAAATCATGACTTACTTCTGCCCTGGTTGGTATCACTCAATAGATTGGGTTTCATTCCAGGCATGGAAAGGTTTGGGGTTCAATTCCCAGTCAGGGCACATGTCCAGGTTACAGGTTCAATCCCCGGTAGGGGACATGCAGGAAGTAACAGATCAAGGTTTTGCTCTTGTATCAGTGTTTCTCTCCCTCTCCTTTCCTCTCTATTGAAAAATCAATAAAGAATATTTTTCTAAAAACTCGATATAGGAATAAGCAGGAAAATATGACCCAAAACAAGAAGAAAAACAAAAACAGAAACAGACCCATAAATTATAGAGATAATGGAGTTTGCAGACCAATATGCTAAAACAGCTATTATAAATATGTTGAATATGTTCAAAGATTTCAAGAAAAACGAAGATAATGAATAAAGTAATGGGCCGAGACCGGTTTGGCTCAATGGATAGAGCGTCGGCTTGGGGACTGAAGGGTCCCGGGTTCGATTCCGGTCAAGGGCATATACCTTGGTTGCGGGCATATCCCCAGTAGGGGGTGTGCAAGAGGCAGCTGATCGATGACTCTCTCTCATCAATGTTTCTAACACTCTATCTCTCTCCCTTCCTCTCTGTATAAAATCAATTAAAAATATATTTTAAAAAAATAAATAAAGTAATGGGAGATATATAAGAAGAACCAAATAAAACAAGTAGAGATGAAAACTACAATATCTGAAATGAAAATATCACTACATGAGATTTACAGCAGGTTAGATAATGCAGATGAATATATCAGTTAACTTCAGGACACAACAACAGAAATTATCCATAGTAAATATAGAAATTACAACCATTCATCTAAATGCCAATGAAGCTTAAATGTTTTCAATGGCAGCTACATACATATTCATTATTACAGATTTACTATTGGGTGGAAAATTTGAGAAAAAAACTAAATATTTGTTATATCAAATATTCTCATAGAGAATACAGAGATATAGGTATGCTGGAAAGGTTTACTGCTTCCAAACCAGTTTTTGTTTCTCAGAATAGCACAGGTAGGCCCTGCTGTGCCTACAAAAATATACATAGCTCACAAGAGACTTGTTGACCCAAAGTCTGAGACAGCAGACAGCACAATTCCAGGCTAGAACACTGGGTAGGGAGCAGAGTAGCATTTTCCATACTGTAATTTTGGTAAGGAGTCCAGTTCCTGCTCTCCAAATGGGTCTTTCACTTACACACCTACATTCTCATGGACGTTAAAACTAACCTCTAAGGCTTATACCTGGTCCAGAATCCCTACCTTTGACACAGAGAGGAAGAGTGCTGTATGGGAATAAGACATGTCAAATTTTGCTAACATAATGGGTTCTCCCCTCATTTTTTTGGTACCTAGTGATTTCCTCTTCTTATGTTTGAACTTAGCTATTCATGGAGGCCTCGGGTACGTTGAACTCAACGCATTGTTTCGTGGTTACTCGGTCATTTCCCATTTATTTATTAAAAAAAAAAAAGTTCTGTCATTTCCACGTATGTACTTTATGTTTTCTTTATTATTTATTTACCACAAGTAAAGGTCAGGAATTGTTATCACTCAAAATTTTTTTTACTGTTTCACTTCATAATTGCTGTGTAAGTGCTCCATGTGAGTGATGTAGGTGCTTATGAAGGGTTCCGACTTACGTTACCTTGGGCCATAAGAGCGGATCTCTGACGTAACCCGAGGACCTACTATATACAATGCTTCACTGATCTTAAAAAATAGCTTATAATATCACAATGTTTTTAGTTTAATAAAATTACATCTTTACTAGGAATAATTCTTCAAAAAATATTTTATTATAATCATAAAATACTTACACAAAAATATAATTTTTCATTTTGATATTATTTAAATGATAAAATTACCTTTGTGTTTATTCAGAAGTTTGTAGCCTTCACAGTATCTGCCTGGTGAAATTGTCATCTTGGTTGTGTCAATATAAGAATATGTTGCTGCAAAATCAAACTCCTTTTTACCATCCCACCAACCTTTCTGCTTAGCATAGTTTCTCATGTCTGGGTGTTCCCGATCAATCTTGGTCGTTATAGAAAGCTGATTAGAAATATTACGAACTCCCTCTTTTTTCAAAGAAGAAGAGGTAAAGGAAGAAAAAGAGCGATATTTAATGTAATGTAGCTATCTGTACATTATGAATCACAATCACAATTTAAATGTAAATATAGTCTTCAAAATTTGTACCATATGCATCTATTACATATTCAAAAAGATAAATTGCTTTTTAAATGAAACTTTTCATTTTGAGATATAGATTCACATGCAATTGTCACAATAGACAGATCCCGTGTATACTTTACCCAGTTCCCCACAATGTAACATTTTGTATTATATAATATTACAACCAAAATACTGGTACTGATAAAGTAAAAATGTAGAATATTTTCATCACCAAAAAGATCACTCAAGTTGCCTTTCTATAGCCACACTCACTTGTCTCCCATCCCCAGCATCTCATTAACGCCAGGCAACCACTAGTTTGTTATCCATTTCTACAACTGTCATTTAAGAATCTATAATAATAAAAGCAAATATGCTAATTAGGCTGGACAGCCGAATTACCTTCGGGACAACCTTCCAGACGGAAGCAGCAGCTGCTAGCGCCGAGCCCCTTGCATGAATTTTGTGCATTGGGCATCTAGTGTTGTATAAATAGACTCTCATAGTATATAACCTTTTGGGGCTTTTTATTCAGTACTAGAGGCCCAGTGCATGAAAATTCGTTCACGTGGGGGTCCCTCAGCCTTGCCTGTGCTCTCTCACACACTGGGACCTCTCAGGTGATGTTCGCCTGCCAACCTAGGCCGCTCCCCAGGAGGAGTGGGTCTAAGCCACAGTCAGACATCCTTAGCGCTGCCGAGAAGGCAGGATAGGCCCTTAGGGTCAATTTGCATATTTCACTTTTATTATATAGGATAATTCTCTAAAGATTCATACAAGCTATTACATGTATCAACAGTTCATTCCTTTTTATTGCTGAGTAGTATTCTATAGTATGTACATATTACAGTTTATTTAGCCATTCACAAGTTAAAGGATATCTGTTTGGGGCTGTCATGAAAAAGTTGCTATAAATATTCATATACAGGTTCTTTTTTTTTTTTTAATATATTTTATTGATTTTTTACAGAGAGGAAGAGACAATTAGAAACATCAATGAGAGAGAGTCATCGATCAGCTGCCTCTTGCACACCCCCTACTGGAGATATGCCCGCAACCAAGGTACATGCCCTTGACCGGAATCGAACCCAGGACCTTTCAGTCTGCAGACTGACGCTCTACCACTGAGCCAAACCGGTTTCGGCCATATACAGGTTCTTGTGTGAATGTAAGTTTTTATTTCTCTGGGACAAATGCACAATATTTCAATTGCTAGGTTTTATGACAGTTTCATGTTTAGATTTTTTTAAACTTCCAAACTGTTATCCAGAGTAGTTGTACATTCTTACTAACAATGTACCAGTATCCACATTCTTCCCAGCATTTGGTGGTGTCATTTTTTATTTTAGTCACTCTGATAGGGATATAGTGATATATCATTGTGATTTTAGTTCCCCTTTCCTAATGGATAATGATATTGAGCATCATTTCATGTACCTTCCCCCCCCCATGTGCTTTTTTGACATCTGTATATCCCTTTAGATGAAATATCTATTCATGTCTTTTGCCCATTTTTCTAACTGGATTGTGTGTTTTTTTTTACTGTTGGCTTTTAAGACTTTTTTATATACTTTAGTATTAATTCGTTTTAAAAAAATAGTCATAAATAAGTTTAGCACAGAAATATATGTCTTCCAAATATATCATGGCACTGAAACACAAAATAGAATAATAAAAACCTGTGCAAAAAAGATCATAATGAATGAAATGTATCATGATAAATAAAAACTGATAGTATTTTAGACAGATTTATAATTACAGTCTGCCAAGTAGAAATCAATTAAATTAGTCTGATGCAGAAATACTTAAGATATTCTCTCCACAAAAACTAGACTTAAGTCTCGACAGAACACATACAGAAGAGTTTTCCATCTAATATCTAATTCCCGAGTTTGACTCCTTAATTCTTGGGATCAGTTAGTAAGGAAGAGAAACCAGTGGGAAAAGTTATCTTAGAGCTAGATAATTAAACCCAACGATAATATTCACAGTGGATGGCTTGCTGGGCCTATATTTTTCAAAAGAATATTTATTCATTTCTCTCTTGCAAGTGGCACATTTAATAAAATAAAAAGTGCTTAATGGTACAATCAGGCCACTAGTTATTACAATAAAAAATAGTCTAAATTCAATTATATGTACTGTTTTTTTACTGTTGTATTAGTAAGTATATAGCAAAATATAAAATATCCATCAAAAGAACTGGCAATGATCTTTTGTGAAAAATAACATCCAAATCTAAAGCTTGAGGCTACCTTCATAAAGCCTTTCTGAACTCCCCTGGCTCACAGTGACTTTTACATACTCTCAATGTTTACAATATCTATGTGTTTGTATCATTCATACAACATTTAATATTCTCACATGTATATCTTATCTCCTTTATAAAATCATGAGATCCAGGACATAAGTGCACAAGAAGTATGTGATTACGCTTGAGCACAGACTGTACTCTAATGAAAGAACACTGAACAGAGAGACAGAATGGGAAGATTTAAATTCTTATTCATTCACTGCCTTGAGTAATTCACCTATCTGGATTTTCTCACTTGAATAATGAGAGGAATATATATTCATAAAGAAACCATGGAAAACCAAGAAAAGCATCCTAAGACAATTAAATTGTGTTCTTTTACTATGATAATGCTTTACTATTATATCAACATATTCTTTCTAACCACTAGCCCACAGATATCCATGCCCACCCTGCTACCACTCCCCTTTTTCACCTTCATACCCACATTATGAAATTTTGCAATTCAGGCCAAAGTTAAAAGAAAAAGAAATGGTAAGAGATTAAAAAGTAGAAAATGGCCGAAACTGGTTTGGCTCAGTGGACAGAGCGTTGGCCTGCGGACTGAAAGGTCTCAGGCTCGATTCTAGTCAAGGGCATGTACATTGGTTGGGGGCACATCCCCAGTAGGGGGTGTGCAGGAGGCAGCTGATCGGTGTTCTCTCTCATCGGTGTTTCTAACTCCCTATCCCTTTCCCTTCTTCTCTGTAAAAAAAATCAATAAAATATATTTTTTTTAAAGTAGAAAACATAAAACAGCCAAGAGCTACTGTAGAGAAAATATATAAATTACTTAAAATTTATAGTACATCTATGAAAAGAATAACATCACTGTTTCTCCCCTTCAAGAAAGCTCTTTGTAGTGCTCTTTCATTGTGTTCTTTAAAACTGTTTCATTTCTCCTGTAGACCAACCTTCATTGCACTGATTTATAATTCTTGAAAGACAATTATAATACATGCAACTTCTGCAATTAAGGGAGTATTTATTAATTGTAAAACAAATGAGAAGAAATTATCCATACCTTGTACTTTTTCTGCTGCCCAGTACTTCCCTGCAGTCTCCAGAATCCAGGCTTCCTTCCTATCAGCTATCAGGAAACTGTTGTGATAGCTAAATGTCACACCATCCTCTGAACAATTTCCACCCTGGCCGTATTTTTCTAATAAATCAACAATGACGTCGAGAGCTTTTTCAGCTGTATCAGCTCTTTCAAGGCCAAGTCTAAAATAAAAATATTAAAGTTCTTGGGTTAAAATAAATTTCCATTGTTTTGCTTAAATAATTTTATGCACATGAGATTTTGTGGTTGTAGTCAAATAAAAATTACTTCAAGTTAACAGATATACTGAAATCCAACTTCAAAACTATTCCTCCTAAAGTCAGTTTGGAATTGAAAACAATGAATTTTGGAGTCAAACAGATCAATGTTCAAATTCCAAGTTGGTAATTTATTGGTAAGTTACTTGATCTCTGATCTTCAGGTTTATCATCTAAAGTTATTGTGAGGACTAGTTATGATCTGGTAAAATATGTTAGGTACTTCCAATAAATCATGATTATCAATTCTTACCCTCTCCCAATTAATGGTATATGAGGGTCTTTACACTACATGCTTGTACTTTAAAGCATGTTGGCACACACTATAAAGTATCAAAGTCCAAACAAAAGAAAAAAATAGAAAAACGAAATTTGTAAGCGTTACACCAAAATTTAAATTTTAGACAAGTTCTATAGTTGAAAAAATACAACAGAAAAATAACCTGACAAGGTCCATGCCCAGTAGCGCCTCTTCATCACAAACTTCTTCTCTTCCCCAAACAGCTTCATTCCCAATGCAAACTCCATGTTCATTGGCTCCCATTTCTGCACCCCACAACCAAGCTGGGCGACTGAGAACAACAGCATATGTTTCAGAGACTTGATCAATTTCTATGTAAGTACACTGTAAAGAAAGTCATAGCAACAATCATTAAACCAAAAAAATATAAGTTGTCCAAGTCCAGGATCTTAAAAATCAACCAGAAAATACAACCATGAGATAAATGAAGTATAACTAAATTGAAATGACTAAATTGAAACTAATATGGCATTACCCATAAAACATATTTAGAATTGACCCTGACGCATTCATTCATTCAAATACTTGCTGAGTCCTAGCCAGTTTGGCTCAGTGAATACAGCATCGGCCTATGGACCAAAGGGTCCCAGGTTTATTTCTGGTCAAGGACACATCCTGGGTGCAGGGTCAATCCCTAGGAGGAGGCAGCCAATCAATGATTGTCTCTCATCACTGATGTTTCTATCTCTCTCCTTTCTTCTTCTCTGAAATCAATAAAAATGTATTTTTTTAAAACATCAAATACTTGCTGAGCATATTCAATTTTAAAGCACTCTGCTAAGAAATGCATCAGTTACAGGTTTTGCTTTCAAGAAACTAAGACATTAACTAAGGTATAACAAAATATAGGGGCCATAAAGAAAAATGAAGATGAGGAGCTACAGAAGCTCAGGAGAGACAGTTTCTAATTGTGAAAACTTTAAATATTTTGTGAAGGAGAATGTATGTGATTTGAAGCTTAAGGAAGCTGTTTTAATCTTAATGTACAGTCTTTCTTGGTTAGTGATGTAAGTCCCGTATGGTAGTGCTTATACACAGGGTATTGTCATAGAAGTCCACGCATCTACCATGTCCACAGCAGTGAAAAGAATGAGAACCACTAGTTTACAGGATAGGCTAGTCTTAACTATGAAGAGACAAAAGTGGAAATGGACCCAAAATTAATAAGTAGTCGTAGCAAAAGAAAAACTGGACTAGTATACAGAATACATCTACCATTTAATATATTTTAGTATTAGAATATCAATGAACTCTAAAAATTGGTAACAATTAAAGCACAATGTAAAACTTTTAAAGTTCCATGATGAATAGTTTTTTTTTATTAAAATTTTTAAAGAACCCTTTAATTAATGTGTATTCTACCAAATGACTATACAAAATTCATGTTGCTAGTGTTATCACTGGGCCAATAAAAATTTTATTCCCAGGTAGTAAAACTGTTATTCCAGAATCTGAATGACTTTTCCTATTCTTCACCAACCAGAATTTTTGTTGTCCATCAAACTCCAGCTGAAACCCCAACTCCTAGTGAAGAATAGACTAAATTAATTGTTCTTTCTCCACTGCTGTCCCAGCTTACTGCTCTTATATTTTATATCTAAACCATCATGCCTTATAATGGGGTTAGCTAACAGCATACATCCAATTCCTCTACTAAATCCTAAGCTTGACAGCAGGATTTTAAACATTCTTTTTTTTTAAATTTTGACTTTAGAGAGAGATGAAGGGAGAGGGAGACAGAGAGAGATGTGAAAGAGAAACATTGATTGGTTGCCTCCTGCACATACCCTGTCCGGGGAATTGAACCCACAACCTAGGTATGTGCCCTGACAGAGAATCAATCTGGTAACTTTTCAGTATACAGGATGAAAGGTCAACCAACTGAGCAACACCAGCCAGGTTTTAAATCCCTGCCATATTTAACAGGTTTACATATAGAAAGCATTCAACAAAATTAATAATAATTATTATTTTTTTCAGCTTCCTGCAAATCACAAAATAAAGGACCAGCAGTCTACTTTTGATTCAAATTACTTTTCAAATTTCAATTCTGGAATTTTTAACTTCTATAGTATCTGCCAAATAGCTAGCTTATGATAGAAAAATGCTGTTTATGATATTTAAAAATTTTTAATTTAAATTTTTAATTAAAATTTTAATCAAAATATGTATTTCACCCACCTTAAGATGTCCTCTCAGGTTATCGTGAACTGCAGCAGGAAAATAAACTACCTCTTGTACTTCATCACAGGGTCTATCTGAATTTTTTCCAAAAATAATCCTATTTTCAACTGTTGCTGGAGGTAATGCCACAAAAGTGTCACAGGAACAAGGTTCCATTTTTTTTTAACTGAAAATCATATAGAAGATTCAAAATAAAAGGAGAAAAGTGTTTTTAAGTATATACAAAACAGAAAATTTTACTTAGTGACCAAGGGATACTATTGCCATATCTAATAAGAGCTGTTCATTGAAGTTTTAAACTTCATATACTGTAGTTAGAAAACGACTTGGGAATGAATCTTATAGTACAACCAATAAGAAAATGGCAATGACATGTACCTTCTTCTAATCTATCAGTCAGATTTACCCTCTAGAATCTTTTACTCCTGAAGTCATCTTTAGCTATTTCCATATTTGGGAATCCCTACTTCTTCTGTTGTAAAGACCTTATTTTACTATATTTATGTACATACATGAGTCTTTTTATTGGACTATGAGATCCTGGGGTGTTGAGAGCATGTCTTATTAATCTTTGTATTCTCATCATCAGAAATTATAGAAACATCTCAGTATTGTGTACCCACTGTTTTCTCAAAGGAAGGAGGAAGGGTCTCCTTTGAGTTGAAGAATATACACAGATTAAAATACTGATAAGACTGACATTTTGAAACAGACTTGCTGAATCAGACAATAAAAATATTTTCAAATTGTTGATATTTCCAGAGAGAAGTTTACATCCATAACTTGTAGACCCTCGTGGTAGAATTTAATATCAAGATTATTTCTTCATTTGCAATTCGGAAAAAAATCTTACTATCCTAAATTTTAGCAGAATACTTGTCTCATACTTTGCTTCCAAAATGAACACATTGTTTTATAGTTTCCTTTACTGTGTAATGTCCAAATCGTAAAACAGTTCTATGCAGGCTTCTTAAAAACAACAACATTAAATCTAATAAATGTTTCATTAAAAAGAAGATAAAATGATTCAAATAAGAAAAAACTTCAGAGACCTGAAACTCCCGAGTTTTTCTTTTCCTCCGTGATGGGAAGAGAGAGGTCCCAATTGCTTCTGTTCTTTTTGGTGTGTCTTTCGACCTTAATTCCTTGGTGGCCTTCGTGTTCCAAAGCAGTTTATTTCTCTCAGGCCTCCTGTCTCATTGGTAAGTATAGCAGAGGGCTAGCATGAGAAATTAGTAAGACAAAGTGTCAAGTGTTTTGCACCGTGCATACAACGCAGAAGTCACACACACACACACACACACACACACACACACACACACACACTCAAGAAGTTGGTTGGGGCAGCCACGCCCAATCAAACCCCTGGAGTTTCCAGGCCCTACAGCTGCGCTTGATCTGAGCTAAGGGGCTGTGCTCTGAGCTAAGGGGTTGTGCTCTGAGCTAAGGGGGCTGTGCTCTGAACTAAGGGGCTGTGCTCTGAGCTAAGGGGCTGTGCTCTGAGCTAAGGGGTTGTGCTCTGAGCTAAGGGGTTGTGCTCTGAGCTAAGGGGCTGTGCTCTGAACTAAGGGGCTGTGCTCTGAACTAAGGGGCTGTGCTCTGAGCTGAGGGGCTGTGCTCTGAGCTAAGGGGCTGTGCTCTGAGCTGAGGGGTTGTGATCTGAGCTGAGGGGCTGTGCTCTGAGCTGAGGGGCTGTGCTCTGAGCTGAGGGGTTGTGATCTGAGCTGAGGGGCTGTGCTCTGAGCTGAGGGGCTGTGCTCTGAGCTGAGGGGCTGTGCTCTGAGCTGAGGGGTTGTGATCTGAGCTGAGGGGCTGTGCTCTGAGCTGAGGGGCTGTGCTCTGAGCTGAGGGGCTGTGCTCTGAGTAAGGGGCTGTGCTCTGAGCTGAGGGGTTGTGCTCTGAGTAAGGGGCTGTGCTCTGAGCTGAGGGGCTGTGCTCTGAGCTGAGGGGCTGTGCTCTGAGCTGAGGGGTTGTGATCTGAGCTGAGGGGCTGTGCTCTGAGCTGAGGGGCTGTGCTCTGAGCTGAGGGGTTGTGATCTGAGCTGAGGGGCTGTGCTCTGAGCTGAGGGGCTGTGCTCTGAGCTGAGGGGCTGTGCTCTGAGCTGAGGGGTTGTGATCTGAGCTGAGGGGCTGTGCTCTGAGCTGAGGGGCTGTGCTCTGAGCTGAGGGGCTGTGCTCTGAGCTAAGGGGTTGTGCGGGAAGCTAAGGAAACAAGCCGCCCCGTTAGCAAGGCACCTAGCCCATGGAGAGGGGAGGCCGCAGAGGCTTACTAACACCTAGAGTGTAATCATCATTCAACAGAGGTTTGCTGAGCATCTTTCCGCACCACGGTGCCGACGAAACAGTCCTCGCTCTGGTAGCGCTGACACCCTGTTTCATATGCTTTCGTTCACCAACTGCTTTCAGAAACCTCCTCACAAACGGGCTACCTATTGTGAGAATTACTGTTCCCAGGATGAGAAAAATCGGTGCAAAAAAAAGTTTAACACGAGTCAGCGTTCCCTGGGTCCAGAGCTCGAACTTCAAACACGTCTCGCAGCAGAACCGCCGCACACGGCGCACTCCGCGCCCATCGCGGGCGTGGGAACTGGGGCGGCGCAGCTGTGCTCGGGGGGGCCCCCCCGCGGCCCGGTACCCCACGCAGCCCCCTTCTCCGTCCCCCCGCTTCCCACTTCCGCTACGCACGCTCCTCCACCCTGCACGCCCCTCACCTGGCCTCCCGGCGAGGTGAAAAGGGGAGGGGCGCTCCGAGACAGCGAGAGGCATTAGTTGCCGGAAGCCGTCACCTTTGACCCCGGAAGTGCCCGGTGCGGAGGGAAGCGCAGTTCCGGTTAGGCGGCAGAGTTTGTTTACGTTGCTCTCTCAGACCTAGCGGCTGCTTTCTCCAGCTCAGCCTCCAAGATGGGGAAGTCCTTCGCCAATTTCATGTGCAAGAAGGACTTTCATCCCGCCTCCAAATCCAACATCAAGAAAGTGAGTAAGGGGAGCCCCGGAGGGTGCTAGCCCTGGGACTGGGTTCCCAGGGGGTGTTGGAAATGGGAGTGGTGGTGTCTCTCTTGGATGCCTGGGACAGTCGCCTCTCATCCAGGCCTAAAGCTCTCGTGTTCTTGCCCCTTTACCCCCCTTTTTGAGAAACTTGTTGACAGAGCTGGCCCTCGAGTTTAGGTGTCCTGGTCTGCTCTTTCAGTGAGATTGTAAATTCATACGATCTGAAGACTGATAATAGAGTTCCTCATTTCTTCCCTCGGGAGATTCTGGATATGCCTTTCCGAATCCCAGGATTGTAGTTTCGGAGCGCTGCTAAACTGTACCAAAAAAAACTTACTATTTATTTAAGAAAAGGTAGATCTTAACATGGAAGTAAAGTCAGCCCCTTGCTTCCTCTCTTTATCTTACTCGATAATGTATTATCACTCTGATGACCTCAGTGAAATTCGGCGTTTTAGTAATCAATTACATGTCTATGAGCAGTAAAGATAGTCTGGGCATTGGAATCAGACCTAGATTCTAGTTATTCCAGCACAGTCACTATTAGCTCTGATACTTTGCACAAAATACTAGTAGTTCCCTCATTCCAGGCTCCTAGTCTTTAAATTAGGAATGATCATTATCAATTGCTTTGACTTGTAAAATTGGTATGAGGATTTAATAAGATTTAATTATCTTTCACCTGGACTATTATGTTTCTAACTGTCCTTTCTGCCTTCAGTCTTGACTTTTTTCAAATCTGTTCTCTACATAGTCATCAGAATAACTATTTTACTTCACAGCTTTACTGAGATAGAATTTACATACCATAAAATCACCCATCCGCTCAAAACCCGTATCTGTTAGCAGTTCCTCCCCATTTCTCCTTAACCCTCTTCTCCAGCCCTAGGCAACCACAAATCTGCTTTCTATTTCTGTGGATTTGCCTACTCTGAGCATTTCATATAAGTCATGAAATATGCATATCTTTTTTTTCACAAAAGTCATGAAATATCTTTTGTGAAATACTGCCTTTTTGTGAAGTTATGCTGTGTTTTCTAGTCTAGACATATTACATGTAGAGAGATGGATATTCTCTCTGAAATAACATAGTGACCAAGTGCAAAAAAAAAGCTGTTGTTTCAGGTACTCAGAATAGTTCGCAAGTTTGACATTTTTACTTGAAATTTTAGTTCTTTTGAACGGTTGTATTTAAGAATTTACTCGAAGATACATATCAGACTTTTCAGCTGTTATTTTGTAATGGTGTCGTTATGACCAAAGTAGATTATGTTGTAAACTATATATAATAGCATTTGATATTTTATTATAAAAGAAAAGCACACATCCTATTTTAAATTTTTTACTTTATTAATTTAGGTATGGATGGCAGAACAAAAAATATCATATGATAAGAAGAAACAAGAAGAATTAATGCAACAATATCTTAAAGAACAAGAATCATATGATAATAGGTAAGAAATTCCATTATACTGATGATTTTATTTATTTTCTAAATTTTATTATTTTTAAAAACCCTTACCCAATAATATATTTTTATTGATTTTTAGAGAGAAAGAAAGTAGTGGGGAGAGAAAGACACATTGATGTGACAGAGAAACATGGTTCGATTGCCTCCCTTATGTGCTCCAACCAGGGATCGAACCTGCAACCCTTTGGTGTATAAGATGATGCTCCAACCTGCTGAACCACCCAGCCAGGGCTATGCTGGTGATTTTAGAATAATCAATTGCATCAAAATGACCCTTATTGAATCGTATATTAAGTTAGCCTTTTTGAATTGAATGTCTTAATGATAGGATTCTATTTCCTCTGAACTATCTTTACTCTTATATTTGTAGATGGCCAGTTAACCATAATTCACATAAAATATATTGATATGAGTACTAGTATACATAGCCTTTGATCAAGTTCCAACTTAGGCAAAGCTTAGAAGAACAATAAAAGTTTAACACTCAAACTACTGAGTGTTTGAGTGTTAAGTATTTCGTTAAAAGCTTATTAATGAGAAAGCAGAAAGGATGTTCAAGAAACAGTCAATAATTGAGTTAGACCAATCAAAAGAGTGTGGGTAGAAAAGTAGGTTTACAGCAGATCATAGTGTGGTTATTCTTTATCTTTAAAAAACAGTTACTTTTTTTCCTTGGTACTTAATAAATATTTGAAGCTATGCAAATATCCTGTTTTTCTTGGAACTTTTGCCCACTGCTTTTAGCATTCATTGGTGGATCTCACCCACATCAATTATTACTATGGTTTTCTAACAGTGATTTTCTATTTCTCTTATTCCTTTTCTATATATTTTTTTTAATTGATTTTAGATGGGAGAGGGAGGGAGAGATAGAAACGTCAAGGATGAGAATCATTGATTAGCTGCCTCCTGCATGCCTCCTACTGGGGATCGAGGCTGCAGCCCTGGCATGTGCCCTTGACTGGATTCCAACCTGAAACCCTTCAGTCCACAGGCCAGTGCTCTATCCACAGAGCCAAACCAGTTAGAACTTACTATATTTTTTAATTTGAATTCCTTTTCCCTTTCTCTCATTTATTCATTTATTTTTATCAGTATAGACTCATAGATATAGATTCAGATTTAATTTAATGAATGGAGTAAAGTTTTGAAACTATAACAACATACTTTAATTCCCTTAGAATTTTAGAGATTGAGGAACAGTTATTCTGTAACTTTTTCCTCCTACATAAAATTGTTACCTTTATGTCTTGTTTTTATTTAGATTGCTTATGGGAGATGAACGTGTAAAGAATGGCCTTAATTTCATGTATGAGGCCCCACCAGGAGCTAAAAAAGGTGCTTCATTTCTTTTTTTAAGTCTTTGATATGTTTGCAACTAAAAGTTGCTGTTATAAAATTTGCTCTTTATCTTTTAAAATGGCTATTATATAAATGCTGTAATCAATAGAATAAATACTAAAAATATTTGTCTATAATCTAGTTATGTTTCATAACTGCTCCTTTGGGAGGAAAAAAAAAATCTTAACCATCAGCAGAAGTTCGTTTATTCTTTTATAATTTATGTATATAACTTTAGTCCTTCTTACTGAATGTACTTATAAATAGAAAGCATAATATTCACTGTCAATGAAAAACATTAAAGTTTAAATATTGAGATTACATGCCTATTAAATATGATCTCTTAATACTGTTTTTATCCTTTAGTGATTTGAATTTTATCTTATGAAAGAAGACATGTCAAACCAATAAATTCTTACATGTTATAATTAAATACCATATCATAGTATAGTATATGATAGACTTTTATGAAGTTTTTAACTTGATCTACCTTTTTCCTCCATATTTTTGATATGCAATCAAGAAAATAAAGAGGTAAAGTACTATTTACTATGGTTGAATTTACTTGCAGTAAATTATAATTTTATGAAAAATTGAAAGACTTCAATGAATGTTTTTAGAAAGAAGAAACAGAAGGAGAGACTGAATACAAATTTGAATGGCAGAAAGGAGCACCACGAGAAAAGTAAGAACTGCTTTTTTTTTAAGATAAAATACATATTAAATTTATCTGATACCCCATCTTGTGTTCTTTTTTTCATTCACTAAAGGTATCTAATATGAAAAAGTATTTTCAGTGATTTGTCTTATACAATTAACTTGCTTGATTATAGTCTTTAGTTTTTTTTCTGTTTTACTTTTTTTTTTTTTTAATTAGACTGGACATTTAAAAACTAAGTGTGCTTAGAAAGACTAAATAGATTTTATAGTTCTATATAAAATATATTACATTTTGTACTATATTTAGAACTATAAAACTTTTTCAGAATAACTGCTATTTATTAAATTATTAATATTGTTTTTGCACATTTTTCTCTACTCAATAGATATGCCAAAGATGACATGAACATCCGAGATCAGCCCTTTGGTATTCAGGCAAGTGACATATATTTTATTCTGTAAGAATAATTTTCATTTAATAAATACTTAATGTTGTGACCCAAAAAGTATTTAAGCTGAAAAGGAGTTCTTTGGTTTCTATTTGTATCAGAAGATAGAAAGTCTAGAAGAGAAAATAATAAATGTAATAGATTGATGAAAGATAGAAATCAAAGTTTCATAGTGAGACTTATAATGACATGGTCTCTGCAGTTTTCAAGGAATTTGGAGAATTAGCTCAAAATTTGAAAATTTAAAATTAAGCCATGACATAATTATTTTTTGGAATTTTACCATTCTTTTAGGATGACATTGATTAAACTAGAGGTCTGGTGCACGAAATTTGTGTACTTGGGGGTCCCTCAGCCCAGCCTGTGCCCTCTTACAGTCCAGGAGCCCTTTGGGGATGTTTGACTGACGGCTTAAGCCCGCTCCCCTGCAGGGAGCTGGCCTAAGCTAGCAGTCAGACATCCTTAGCGCTGGCCCGGAGGCAGGAGAAGCTCCTGCCATTGCCGCTGTGCTTGCCAGCCATGAGCAGCTTCTGGCTGAGCAGCACTGCCCCTGTGGGAACGCACTAACCACCAGGGGAGCAGCTCCTGCATTCATTGTCTGCCCCTGATGGTCAGTGCGCATCATAGTAATCAGTCATTCTGCCATCCAGTCGATTTGCATATTAGCCTTTTATATAGGACTAGAGGCCCCAAAATTCGTACACGTGGGAGTGTGCCTCTCAGCCCAGCCTTTATTCTTTCCAATGGGACCCCTACCAGGCCTAAACGGGCAGTTGGACATCCCTCTCACAGTCCAGGACTGCTGGTTCCCAACTACCCACTTGCCTGCCTTCCTGATTGCCCCTAACTGCTTCTGCCTGCCAGCCTGATCACCTCTTATTCACTCCCTTTCCAGCCTGATTGATGTCTACTTCCTTGCCAGCCTGTTTGCCCCTAACTGCACTCCCTTGTAGGCCTAGTCATCCCTAACTGCCCTCCCCTGCAGGCCTGGTCCCCCCCAACTGCTCTCCCCTACAGGCCTGATCCCTCCCAACTGCCCTCCCCTGCTGGCCATCTTGTGGAGGCCATCTTGTGTCCACATGGGGGCAGTCATTTTGTGTGTTGGAATGATGGTCAATTTGCATATTACTCTTATTAGATAGGACTATAAAATATAGTTATGGAATCTCTTTCTCTGGAAATCTTTTAAAAATTAGAATAATTTAATTTAAAATCTACCAAAGAGTAGGGAGCCAAATGTTGGTTTGTTCTTAATATTTTAATAACCAAAATAATGTTCACTATTTCTCAGGTTCGAAATGTGAGGTGCATTAAATGTCACAAATGGGGTCATGTCAACACAGATCGAGAATGTCCTTTGTTTGGTCTTTCTGGAATCAATGCAAGTTCAGTTCCCACTGATGGCTCAGGTAGGTACTAGGCATAATTTATTTGTTTGTTTTAGAATGTATACCAAGGACAAATACGAAAAGATAAAATGACATTTATCTTTGGATTGGGTTGGGTCGGCCTTTTTGGACTAAGGCACAATCCCAAAATATGATAGAAAACTCTGATAATGTGTTCTGAATTTGAAAGGCAGTATATTAAATTTATTGTTCCTAGCCAAGGGCCCCTGTGTAAGACATTAAACATAGTTTATCAGGTTAGTAACTTAAATGTAGCAGGAAGTAATGGTTATTTCTATATTTATGTCCTCTTAAATTATAAAAGTAGATTGATAGAAGCCTCAGCAGTCACCTCTTAGTTCAGAGATAAAATCAAAACTGAGTTTAGCTCTAGCCAGTTTGGCTCAGTGGATAGAGCATCAGCCTTTGGGTTGAAGGGTTCCAGTTTTAATTCTGGTCAAGGGCACATGCCAGGTTGCAGACTCAATACCCAGTGTGGGGCATGCAGGAAGCAGTCAATCAGCGATTCTCTCTCATCATTGATGTTTCTATCTTTCTCCCTCTCCCTCTCTGAAATCAATAAAAATATATTTAAAAACAAACAAAAAAACTTAACTATGTTAAAATTAGTTTTTACTTAAAAATTTTATTTGCTTTTCTGTGTATTGTTGTCTGCTTAAGAAAGATTAGTCTAGCCGGGACCGGTTTGGCTCAGTGGATAGAGCGTCGGCCTGCGGACTGAAAGGTCCCAGGTTCGATTCCGGGCAAGGGCATGTACCTTGGTTGCGGGCACATCCCCAGTGGGGGTGTGCAGGAGGCAGCTGATCGATGATTCTCTCTCATCGATGTTTCTGGCTCTCTATCCTTCTCTCTTCCTCTCTGTGAAAAATCAATAAAATATATTTAAAAAAAAAAAAAAAAAAAAGAAAGATTAGTCTAATTTGTTTGTGTCATTTGGATTTCTTTTATAAAAGAATATTAAAACAGAAGTTTTAACTTAAATTTATCAGTGCCTTGTTAGGATATTATTGAGACAGCCACACTAATCCAACCATAACTCATAATAAATTATAATAGAAATTAACTTGCTTAGCCCTATAACATTGCATAAGTCATTTCACTTTTATGAGTTTTAAAGAAAGGATTTAATAGTATCCTTACTCAAGAATATTCAGCATTTTTTTTTTTTAAGATGCCTTATATGAAACCCAGTATATAGAACAGATAAAGGCAGAGTGGCTCTATTGAAGCAAATGCTCTGGGCATGAAGCCCCATCCTTAGCTCACCAGGCCTCTGATGCACCTCTTTATACTCCCTGTGGCTTCCACTGCCACCTCAGAGCCCAGGTTCACCCTCAGCATATGACCTTCAGCCTCTGTTCTATAGCTAGAGATCCTGCTTCCTTCCAGCAAGCCAAATGCAGGCCTGAGGATTCAAGAAGCCAGTTCTCGTATTGGGAGTTTAGAAATGTAATAAATTTGATGCTATTTCTTTAATGGTGTTATGGATGTCAGATGGGTAAAGGAAGTACACAGATACAGTATTATAATTGAGTTTGTTTTTTTTTTTTAATCCTTATTATTCTACAAGAGATAGAAGCCACATTTAAGTAAAGGAAAACTATTTGCTCAGTGGTGAGAGAATGCTGACACAGACCTTGGTCAGAGAACCTCTGACAAAAAGAATATCCCACAGGTGCCACAATGCAGGTATCTGAAAGCCCACATACTGATGCTCCTTGCTACCCTGCCTCCACACACCCAGTTGGTGAAAGAAGGGTGAGAGATCTCAAAAGAAATAAAGCCCTGCCATACTGGTTTGAAGGGTTGAGGGGTCAGTTCCAGTCAAGGTCACGCACCTCAGTTGCAGGCTCAATCAGGGAGCATGTGGAGGACAACCAACCATTCTCTCTCTCACATTGATGTTTCTCTCTCTGTGTCTCTCCCCTCCCTTCCACTCTTTCTTAAAAAAAAAAAAAAATTGAATCAATTGAAAAGATATTCTTCGTTGAGGATTAACAAAAAAAGAAAAAGAAAGCAAGCCCCAGATAAATATGGGGGTGGAGTAGGTCATATATGAAGAATCATTGGCTCACATATTTCTAAACACTAATTTTAGTCACAGGGACCCGCTATTATATATAAAAGTTATATTCTGTTTTCTGGAAGGGGCTACACCTTTCTTATCTTTTCCTTCACTCCAACCTTGTGGTGCCCTTACAATTGCATGTTTCCTGTCTAGGATAGGGTGGTCAGTGATAGTAGCTGTCTTTGTTCCTTGGCCTCATCTTTGATCCTGCTTCTGAGACTTAGCCCTTTGTTTAGTAATTGATTAGACCTGCTTTCTCTTGAGTCTATATTAGAAAGTCTGTTAACCACAAACAAAAGAACTATGTGCTATTTAATTGTCCTATTTTGAAGAGTATTGAAAATAGTGAATTCAGATATAATGAAGCTAGATTGGCTCTTCTTCAGCCATGAATTTATGCTTATTAACTTTACAATAACTCAATCATTCATTTTATGCAATCAAAGTTTTGGACCCCACTTGTGGGGTTTTACTGTAGAACTATTCTTCAGTCAAATAAACTTTCTCACAATAAAGTGAATGAAGTAGAAATTGCTCAAGTTTTTTGCTCCTGTCAAGTTTAAACACATGTAACAACCCTTGAGTGAAAGTATTACCTTTATTGAAATACTAATGTTAATGTACTAGTATTAATATCCCTAATATATAAAATGTTCCTTCAAGTTAAAAGATGAACAAACTCAAAGGACATAAATATTGATGGTTTACAAAAGGAGGGGTTCAGATAGCCATTAAAACTATGACAACATTTTCAACAGTATTAATAACCAGATAAATGGCCCTAGCTGGTTTTGCTCAGTAACTAGAGCATCGGCCCACAGACTGAAGAATTCTGAATTTGATTCCGGTCAAGGATGCGTACCTCAGTTGCAGACTCCATTCCAGCCCTGATGCTATGTGTGTGGGAGGCAACAAATCAATGTCTCTCTTTCACATCAATGTTTCTTTCTCTGTCTCTCCCCATCCCTTGCACTCTCTAAAAATCAATGGAGAAAAAAAATATCCTCAGGTGAAGATTTACAAAAAAATAATAACCAAAGAAATGAAAATAAAAGTAGTAATATCTTTCCATCAAATTTGGTAAAGTCTTAAACGAATTTTATACCCAGTGTTGGAGCAAGTGTGTTAAAATTAACATTTCAATCCACTATTGATAAATTGGAGCGGCCTTTCTGAGGTCATTTGATGATATGTATCAAAAGCCTTAAAAGCATACATATCCTTTTACCTAGAAATTCAACATCCAGGAATTTATAAGAAAATGGCAAGGTAGATGCTCAAATATTTATAGTGGTGAAATAATAGAAACAACCCTAAATGTTCATCAGTAAGGGTAAAATGAACTCACTTATTCAACAATTATTTGTAGAGCACTTACTCTGTGCCAGGCATTTTTCTAGGTTCTAGGAATACAATATTAAGACAAAAAAGGTCCTTACTTTCATTGTGTTGGAAATGACACAAACTGATAAATAAGAAAATATTAAGTATTTATAAGTTCTATGATAAAATTAAATTGGATACTGTGATAAGAACTGAATGGGGAGTAGCTTTTGGTTAAGCGGTGAGGAAGGGCTCCTCTGAGGAAGTGATGTTAAACTGCAATCTCTAAGTGACAGGAAAGAAGCAGCTATGCAAGATCTGACAAGAGCATTTGGCATCTTAGGCAGAAGGAACAGCCTTCCGCACAGAGGGAGCCGGACGTTCAGAGAGGCAGTGTACTGATCGGTGAAGAGCACAGGCTATGGAGTGATGGGGCTAGTAAATGCCTGATCCTCTGCTCTGCTGCTTAGTAGCCATGAAATTTTAAGCAAACGGCTTAAGCACTCTGTGGGATGTAAGTCTGAGAATAAATGTTGGTAAATATCTAAGAATATCTCAAAGTACTAAACTATGATAAAAGTATGATAAGAATAAATCAGTAATTTTTACCATCTATAATGCCACATAAGATGACATATCATATATTTCTGATGTACCATCAAGGTTGAGAGCCATCAGTTTCAGTTGTATGTAAAAACAATTGAAGATTTGAGAAATAGTTTTTGTTTATTTGTTTAAATTATGTTTACTAATATTACACAGTCGTAAAGTTATCCTAAAAGAATAATATCCTAAAAGGATATGTCCAGAGATTTTGTGGTAAAGTATTGTGTCCAATAGTAAGAGAGAGAACCTAAATACCTAAGGAAAAGATATTAAGTGAATAATTATGGGCTATTAATGGAATAGTATACTATGCAGCCATTAAAAATATAAAGACTGCTTAATGATAATTGATATTGTTTATAACATTTGGTCAAAGAAAAAAACAGGTCATAAAATAAAGTACAGCCCTAACCGGTTTGGCTCAGTGGATAGAGCATCGGCCTGCAGACTCAAGGATCCCAGGTTCGATTCCGGTCTAGGGCATGTACCTTGGTTTGGGGCACATCCCCAGTAGGGTGTGTGCAGAAGGCAGCTGATTGATGTTTCACTCTCATCAATGTTTCTAACTCTCTTCTCCCTCTCCCTTCCTCTCTGTAAAAAATCAATAAAATATATTAAAAACAAAGAAAAACAAAGTACAGGCTGTCCTCGGGTTACGGCGGACTCAACGCATGTTGTTTCATGGTTACATCACATTTAAGTATTTAAGTATTTATTAAAAAAAAAAAGTTCCTTCATTTCGATGTATGTACATATGTGCTTTATGTTTTTTATTATTTATTTATCACAAGTAAAGGTCAGGAATTATCTTTTAAGTTTTTTTACTGTTTCTCTTCATTACTGCTGTATATGTGCTCCATGTGAGTGACACAGGTGCTTATGTAGGTGGGTTCCGACTTACAGTCGTGTTATGTCGCATCGTAGGAACGGATCTCCAAGGTAACCCAAGGACTGCCTGTAGTGCCCTAGGCAATTCTACCCTGTGGATAGAGTATTGGTCTGT